CTGGGGGGGGGGTACGTGATGAAATCCATGAGTACACGATGAACCGTTCCTGTTAGCAATCGGACGCGCCTAGTCCACTACTAAAAATGACCGGATTGAATTACCCATGATTGAATTGCAATTTGCAAGCGATTAGAAAATTGGCACATAGTAGTCAGATAAGTACGTGAAAGAAGCACGTGGACACTCACAATGGCAACAGATCAGAAAGTATCAATGTCCTGTCTATGCAGTCATACGAGACCAGTGGGAAGCTTTTTGACAGATTAGACAACTAGTGTTCGTTTAACAGTTCTCACGGACAATCACGGAAAATAACATGAGGCGTTAGATTTCGCAAAGGATATCAAATGTACCGTGGCACGGAAGCATCGATCAGTACAGATCGAACTGCATCGTGCATCCATCATTATTCAGTACCTAACACAAGTCTGTTCCCCGTTAGGGGAATGAAGCTGGGAAGAATTTTATGACACTCGATGAACGATAAGTAAATGATGAGTCGGCTGATTGAAAGCGAACAAAAGCACTCGTCGGTAGCAGAAGCGAAAAGTGATTGAGCAAAGTGGATTGGACTACAAGAAAAAAAAATGGTCCAATTCATCATTCACACACGGCAATGCGAGAAATTCGAGTGCCCAAGGGGGTACGATTACGTGCATCTGAACTGCCGTTACTTTGACTCAGTTTAGGATTCGTGATTGAGTGTTTCGGGCCTAAAATCCGCGTAACTCGGGCCTGATATTGACCCAGGTAGGAAACACATCATCAACTATCCGGTTTGGAAATAGACAACGCCCCGACATTGTCCGACACAACACAAGTTCTGCTGACCCGCTATCTATCCGTATATTGCACAACACACATTCCGGTAACCGTACAATGACATGTAATGAAAAACCGCTCTGTCAGGAACATGACAGTCCAAAAGGAAAACAGGTAGTGGTGAGTCCAAATTGTTTAACTATCACATCAAAGTCCATCCCATGGGTCATTTCGGTCTGTGGTAAGCTGGACAAATAAGCATGTCAATCTCTTGACGGTGTACCGAAAAACTCATTCTAACAGAATCGATGGTGAACAGGATGAAAAAACCCTGTGTCGATTCCAGCAACTCAACATCACGGCTAACATACATTGTCCGACTGCTTCTAAAATTCCCCATGAATTCCGTCCGATGTGATTTTGTTTCACACAAACATACTCAAGCTCGTTGTCTAGAAATAACAAATGGAAACAGAAATAAGAAAGTATAAGTAAATTGAAGCAAGTACAAACTGTGGACATCGATAACGAACTAAGAATAGGACAAGATAAAGTTACTGGTCGCGACAGAAATGTGCTACTTGTGTCATTCATATAACTCTGTGAGACTTCACAAATAAAGATAGTTACTTTTGAAAATTTGACAAATTTACGACCGACAGTCCGGTTAAAATTATAAAAATAAATGTTTGAACAACTACTGTGAACTGAAAAGAGAGGGTAGATGAAACATGTGAACAAAAAACTCACTTCTAACGGGCGCTTGCACAAGCGTTGTATCCACATATACTAACAAAAGTCGCGCTAAGAAAGTATCAGAGTGCGAGTTCGAGTTAGAAGGAAAAATTACGATACATTGCACACTATATACTGTCGATCAGCCCAAGAGGTCTGGCAAAACAAGAGTGATATTCCACCAAAAACTCGCCTATCAAGGCACCTTACCTAACAAGTAGTTTCAACGAGGCCTTAATCTAACAAATTCACTTGAGACTTAACTCAATTGCAGTTGCCTGGGACACAGAAGTAAGATTAAAACCAGAACAATACCTTATTTCAAGACAGAAATTCATTAATATGGGTGGTTTCTCAGAAAAGGACAAGCCAGATACCAATATGATCACGGAGTTTCTCGGGAATTTGGAACTAGAGACGTTCTCAGTGTCACTCGGTGTTTTGATTCGAGGGGAGCACCTCCGGCTTTGGGACGGCCAAGTGAGAACTGCCAGGTGGCGGTGTATTGGTTCCGGCGGCTTCGTATCAGCTTATCCGCCATTTGGTAGATGTATCTGCAACCTAGAGGTCCATTCATCCCTGTTTGTCGGACAAGTTCCCTTCATAGCCATTGGATCAAGTAGTGGATCTTATCCCCTCATTCTGGAGTAGCTATCTGCGTATGCCGTAGGCTATCTCGCCCAGCTTGTATACCTTGGTTACCGTCAAGCTAGTTTAGTCTTCCTGTCGAGCGGCTTGCCGGGATGTGGCAGCCGATGCATGCCTCAGCTCCGTGGAGTCACAGGTGATAGTTGGGCATATGATGGAGACCAAAGAGGATGTAGATGTCCTCAATGGGATCCGACAGTTTACCCACCCGCAGGTGCAACTCCTATCAGATATCACATAAACCTCAGTAAACACAAAAAGGCCTTGTCTGTGTAAAGGCGAGAACGGAGAACGCCAAACGAGCTCATCCATACACGTGAAATGAAAAACAGGAAACACATGTTACAGCTCGTAAATCATGAAGTTGGGAGGGTGGAAAGTGGGAGGACCAACCACGAACATGTTTTGCTTGTGACCTACCCCAATCGGTTCGGTGAGTCATGATAAATTTCTGACGTCTGGCATGATGAGTAGCCGCATCGTAGCACTGAAGTACTTCGATCACCAGCTCCGGATTGCGCTCACGCTCGTGGATCGAAATGTTGGCAGCTCGAAGCCATTGGAGCCACTCGTCCGGCATTCCCTGTGAAAAGCAAGCAAAATGCGAAAGCCAAAATCACATAGAGTACGGGCACATTCACACACAATTAAGACTCATAGCAATTGTACCATATGAGTAGCGGTGTTCTATGTGGAGTGTGAAAACGGGTTACTGTTTTCGACGATGGGCTGTAGAACTATCCTATCCCATGCCGCATTATGATACACAGGGGAAAGAGGGGACGGCGTAGTTACAAGTGTTCAATCTGTATGACCGTGCGAACCGACACTGGGTGTGAAAATGCAGTGACGAACAGAAGAAATACCCCGCGAGATACGATAGGAGTAGTGTTCGTCCATTATTGGACCAGTTTACGAAACAACTTATCTGTGTGCAGCAGTTGAAAATGAGAGCTTCTGACATTCTCAGCTGGATTCAGGGATAAAGCGATTACGAGTATCATGGGACACAGACCTGTCAAAATCGATTACAGGACTGTGATATGTCCGCATGGATTTCAGTAACCGTAATATCAAATGGCATGAAAAGATTAGCAAATTGATAAATGCTGAACCGCGCAGAAAGCACAGAAATTCTGTCGTCTGTTTGGAGATTCAACAGGCTCGGGATTAGCGATATTTGGCTGGCAGAATTTATGACCAAAAGTCTGTCCAACTACACAGACGAACATATACACGTTAGTTGAANGGGGGGGGGGGATATTTCTTGTTCTCCCAACAAGATGACATAGAAAAGGGATCGGCTTGCGTGACTACCGATGACCAATAGCCAGACCAACGCAGACAAAAACAATGCACTGACAGTTTGTCGCAAACAGTGTACTCAAATTGACCGGATAGCACCTTCAAGGTAATTTCATTGATTGGATGAAGGGACAAAACATCGACATATCGG